GTTTTTCTAATTAACCTTTGGGCTATATTTAGAAATGTAGCTGACATCATTTTGAGGTACTCAGCTTATATTTATATTGATCAATATATGTACTATTTTTAAAAAGCCTAATAATAATCAATATATGTACTATTTAAAAGAAAGCCTAACAATAAAAGTCACCAAAGGAATAGATTCTAACACAAATATCTACTTTTCCTATGTCTCCTTGATTAATGGAAAATACTTTCTATAGACATCTCTGAAAAAGACCATTACTGGCAGTGGAGATATCAAGTATTTTGCTTCAAGCAATTTTTCTTTCATCCCGCCCATATCAAACCTATTAATGGCTCAAGAAATTATATTCTATTTCATTCATTCAAAATACAGCAAAAGATAAAATTAAGTTTACAAAGCATAAGGTCAGAAATTAGAAATGTAATATTTCAAACTGTTTTCTTATTAAAACCCAGTTTTCCTTCTGAAGTTTTTCGCCTTACATAAACTTTCTTAGGTTCTTATAGTGTTCATTGTGGTACAACAAGTAGATCTTCTTTTATAGTAACCATGATTTCCAAAGCAATATACACTAAAGTGTTAAGTTGTTTTAATGAACTGAAAGAATAAAAAATGTAGACTTTACAGATAATTATAAAAAAAACACTACTTTAATAGCCTGAAAGAGTCCACAGTGAACTACTTACCTACATAATTCTGTACTTACATTAGTTCTTCTTTTATATATCATAGTGGACTTCTATTTATACAGGTTCTGCAGAGAAGCAGAAGCATTGTTCTGAGAAAGAAAGGAAGCAGAGTGATTTGTTATAGGAATAAAATGTTTCATGTTATTTAAGTGGTATGGATTTCTCTTCCAGAAGCAGGTGCTTTGATGATGAAGAGCAGGAAAGGGTGTGTATTCTACTTCAAAATGAGAGACAGAGAATTTACCTTTCCTTCACCTTTTGTTCTACTTGATCTCTCAATAGGTTGTATAATTCCCTGCATTTTTGATGAAGCCTGTTTTGACTCACACTACTGATTTGAATATCGATCTTGTCCAGAAAGACCTTCACAGGCACACTCAGTTTGGGTATCCTTTGGCCCAGTTAAGTTGGCACACAAAATTAACTAGCATAAAATTGTCATTACTGTAAAGGTATTACAAAAATACCTTTTTGTATTTTAAATGTATTACAGGATTACTACACCATATTTGAAGGGGTTCAAATATGGTTTGAACCATGGAAACACCTACAAGGGCGATTAGAGGCCGCCCCAAAAGTCACTATAACTCTTGGAGAGCATGGTAAGCTACCGAGAGTGTTCTGCCCACACGGCAGAGCCTGGCAACTATCCGTAGCATATTTGATATGCCAAAACCAGTAAATACAATGGGTCTCATTCCCCAGACCCTGAAGGAGCCACCAATATGGCAGCATTGAGAAGGATATGCAAAGAGAGGCTAATAAAATCTCAAGGCCAAACCAGGCTGCCAAAATGAAGAAAGACAAAAATGACTGTAATTTTAATGTGCATATGCTGGCGTCAGATACATCCATTGAAGACCTGATAGTACAAGCACGGAAGATCAAGTACAACATCATTGGTCTGACCGAAGCAACAAGGCATCAATCACATCACACTATTTTCGACACTGGAAAAGAACTGTTCCTTGGAACATGTGACAAAAGAGGCATTGGTGGTGTCGGTGTCCTTGTCAATAAGAACTTGGCCATGAGCAATGATTCATTCAAATACCTAACAACCCGAATTAGAAAATTACACGCCATTTTGTCAGTAAAAAAATGAACAGCACCTGGCACAGACAAGGTCAGACCCAAACACCTGAAGAACCTGCTGTCACTACTCATCAATATACTGGCTCGCTCTTCACACGCTACTTGTCTGAATGCAAGGTTTTGTCCCAATAGAAAACCAGCAGGACTGTACTACTGTACAAGAAAAGAGACATCCACGACATTAGCAATTATCGCTCAATTTGCCTGTTGTCTGTCCTCTACAAGCTGTTCACTCGAGTCATCCTGAATAGGATTGGAAGAACACTAAATGAAGAAAAGTCATGCAAGCAAGCCAGATTCCACAAAGGATTCAGCACCATCGACCATATCCACATGATAACCACGCTCATTGAGGTTTTTCAGGAGTTCAAGATGCTGCTCTGTCTAATGTTCATTGATTTAAAGGCCTTTGATTCTGTTGAGAGAGAAGTGGTCTTCGAAACCATAGCCAATCAGGGCATTCAAACTCAATACATCAGGATCCTCCATGTGCTGTAAAATGGATTCACTACCAGAATCTCACCATTCTACAAAGAAGTGATCATCGATGTCAAGAGAGGGGTTCAGCAGGATGATACCATTTCACTGAAACTCTTCAATGTCACCCTTGAGAACATCATGCGACAACTGGAATGGGAAGAAATGGGAGTGAAGATAGACGGTCGGCAACTAAACCACCTCCGCTTTGCAGATGACATCGTTCTAATAACACCAAACATTAGCCAAGTGGCACAAATGCTGGCCGACTTCAACCGTGAGTGTGGAAAGGTCAGACTCCAGCTGAATCTCACGAAGACAACGTTTATGAGAAACAGTCTCGTTCCTGACATTCCATTTGCTCTCAACAGAATGACCATCTCCAAATGCAATAGTTATGTGTACCTAGGTCGAGAAGTCAAGATGACAAATGACCTGGCACCTGAGTTGCACAGGAGGAAGAGAGCGGCTTGGAATGCCTTCAAGAGCAACAAAGAAATAGCTAAGAGAACGAAGAACCTCCGGCTCCGGGCTCATCTCTTCGATTCCACTGTTCTTCCTGCATTTACATACACCTCAGAGACCTGGGCCCTACAAAAACAGGATGAGAACCCTATTCCAGTCTCCCAAAGAGGAATGGAAAGATTCCTTGGAGTATCATGTTTTACTCAAATGAGAGAAAAAAATCCGGAGTTCCAGCCTCCATCGATGGTCATGGGACAAGGTCTCATTTTCCCAGGAGTCAAAAATCAGAGGGGCTGGACACGTAATGAGATTTGGAGACAACCACTGGATTAGAGCTGTTACCAACTGGATTCTACAGGAATTCAAAAGACCGCATGGCCGTCCACCTACGAGATAGTCAGATTTCCACATCAAGACCCTGAATGATCGGTTTGAGGCTCTTCGTGTTTGTAGAATGAGCAGACACCATTGGGCTACATCAGCACGCAACAGGGATGAATGGAGACATTACTGGCGCCCGCTCAAGCAAATCGATGAGTAACAGGATGTCAAATGATTAAGTGATTACCAAAAATTCAATTTCTATACAACACATGTAACAGCAATATCAGATTGTCTTATAGTCATAGATGTTAAGCATTTATTTTTGTATTCTCTGTACCTCGTGTGCCAAGTACTTACACTGTTGGAAAGCAATAAAATTAATCATCTTTTGCTTTGGCTGATATTATCATGTCTGTTAACAATAATCTTAATAAATTTGAGTGGCAATACAGAGTCCCATACTAAGAAAATTAGGAGTGTCCAGTCATTTATTTTCAGTTGTGTATTGGATGTTAGGAGTAGGATAAAAGAGAAAATGTAAGCATTCCAGGGAAGAAAATTAAAAATAAAATCTACAGAGTATTTTTCAGAACTATGAAAAGTGACATTAAGTGGAGTTAATGTAGTATTCATAAAAATATTCATAGTATTTTTTATTGTTACTTGTGTGTCCAGAATGAGTGATACACAAGTGCTTATGTTTTGCTTAAGATACTAAAAAAATTTATTTAATACAAAAAATACCATACCTGAGCAATAATACTGCTTGTAGGGCACCTGCCTTGAAGAGGCTGAAGGGCTTAATTGCCTAGTACTACACATGGTCCCCAGAGACCCACCAGGAGTGAATACTATATGCAGAGCCAAGAGCACACCATGAGAACTTCCAGATATTGCCCACCCCAACCCCCAAAACAAAGAAAGGAAGAAAAGACTCAAAATATTTCTCTATGAGTATATTAAGTGCAAACTGTGCAACTAAAATTCGATAGTATTTCCACATAAAAATAATGAGAATTATCCAAGACCTTTACTATTAGTGTTTTGTACTATTTTGTGAACATTTCAGATTATTAGAAGGAGAAAAAGAACATTTATTAAAGAAAAAATGGGTATCAAAGACATATCTTTTGAAATATTTACATTATAAGTACTCTTAGTTGTATACATTGTACAATAATATGAAGGTAAAGTTGATTCTCTTATGTCCACATATATTTAAATAGCCTTAGTCATTTTAACCAAAACTATTGGCATTATTTTACATAACTATCAAATGTCTGTACGGTATAAAACAGCCAAATTTTAGATATCAAAATAGATGACACACAAGATAAAATATATGTACAGAGGTCAATTTATGAACATACATGGATGATAAATTACAAATTTACAAGTAGCAATTCTCATATTTGAATTACAAATGCAGACGATGTATTCTGTAGACATTATGAAAGTTGTCTGGTGTGTTATGTAGACAGAAGTATTCAGAGATGCACAATTTGGTACATCATATTTCCCCATCATCTTATACTTCTCTGCCACAAGTCATGCAGTGGTTTCATTATGTTACAGTCTCCTTAATATTGTATTCAGTTCTCTAAAGTAGGTTCTACTTCCTCAGAAACAATGGAAGAGATTTTAGAGCTGAAATTAATGTGCTGACTTGAAACACTAGGCTCAGCTTTATTCATTCATGGCTAGGCTATTTCATGGTAGAGCTGGTGATCAAACAATGCAAGACATTTAACCCATTTTTTTAACTATGCTATATAGCTTTCCCCTATTTCTTCTTTTATTCTCAGTCTGTAGCAAAGAAACATTAGAATAATGTCATGACAGTAATTCTTGAAGTGTTTTCTTTCTCCATCTTCAGAAAAAAATAACTTTTTAGTTATTATCTTATCTCTATCCCTAATTGTTAAGGAATTGTCGATTCTCTCCAAACAGCCTCAAAACCAGTGGACTTGAAATTGTGTACTGGACCTGTGCCTAATACTACACAGCTATGCCACATTCCGTGCCCTACTGAATGTGAGGTTTCACCCTGGTCAGCTTGGGGACCTTGTACTTTTGAAAACTGTAATGACCAACAAGGAAAAAAAGGTATGTTATTGTAATTCAGACCTACTTGAAACTTCCATCAATTGAGTCTAATCATGAATTATTTCAAAAGACTGTTGTATGTACCTTGTGATTATTTGTGATATTTTCCAGAATGGCTAAAGATTATTGATTGCAAAAGATGAATAAACCTGCCTGGTGATGAGAACAGAAGATTAAAATTAAAGAATGTAGCCAAGTAGTTTGTTAATTTAGGCAACAGATGGAGAGAACCTGCTGCATTTTATACGATGGTTACAATGATCTGTAGTGTCAGAATGACCTGAATTGGAAAACTGACTTTTTCCGTAATGTTTAGAGAAGTTAATTAACTCTGCCTGCTTAATTGTAAAAGGTGTATAATAATATCTGACATTCTATTTTTTATGGAATCAATTAAATAATAAATATAAAAAAACACTTAATCCATGGCCTGAGCCATAGCATCTGCTCCTTATCAGATAGAAAGTAAATGTAATTTTAAAAGTATGTTGAATTTGATTATAAATAATATAATGTATCCTAGAAAAGTAAACTAAACACATTGTTTTCCTATGTGTTGACCACAGTTAAATAATTTTCACATCACCTAACATTTATTTGAAAACATTTTAACACTTCAAGCAGTCTTCCCATAATTACAATATGTTCTAAGATGTTATTATAGCTCTAAACCTACATTAATTTTGTTCATAATTTTTAATACAATTATTGCCATGAAGGGCAAAATTTAGTGTTGTTAAGGCACAGAAAATCATATTCAATTAACCACATTCTTCACTGAAATGATTTTATTACTAATTCAAATTTTCAAGAACTCTAAAATCAATTGTAGTTTTAAAAAGAGAATTTAGGAGGGACTAGTCAAACCTCAGACATATCTTTTCAAAGCACTGAAGAATATAAAGTAACAGAAGTTAGGTCATGAATATTTCTGAATAGATGAAATTTCATTGCTTCTTTGAATATTTCTAATTACTGGCTTTCCAAATAGCAAGTTTATTAAAATATCAATCTCTTTCTTTTTTCCTTCACTCTTTATCTCCCCAACTCCTCTCTCTGCTCTTTCCTCCCTCTCCTCTTTTCACTCTCTTCTCCCTTCTCTTTCTCCTCTCTCTCTTCTCTCTAATCAGCCCTAGGAGAAAAATGAGTGATATATGGTATTTAGGAGCCTGACTTTTACTATAGTTCACTGGTTATAAAGACCCTCTTTTTTTCCCCATCCTTATCACTTACTAATATAATGAAACATTAATGAGATCAGTTTAAGTTGGAGTTTGAGAAATTTACATGATTAAAGCAGTTGTGATTTCTACCCTATGAGGCTTTCACTAGGTTTAGGTTACGCTTTATGAAATATTAAACCCATAATGGTAAGAATAAATCTTTTCCTTTCTCAATAACTCAGGTTTTAAACTGAGGAAGCGACGCATTACCAATGAACCCACTGGAGGCCCTGGGGGCACGGGGAACTGCCCTCACTTACTGGAAGCCATTCCCTGTGAAGAGCCATCCTGCTATGAGTGGAAAGCAGTGAGGCTTGGAGACTGTGAACCAGATAATGGAAAAGAATGTGGTCCAGGCACTCAAGTCCAAGAGGTCGTGTGTATCAACAGTGATGGTAAGTCAGGTGTGCCTGGCCTGTTTAAATGACTGTCCTTTTAATCCTGGGGATATGCTGATAGCATTGATTTTATGTTAAATTCTCACCTCATTTATCCTTTACTTGGCAAACACACAGAAATAGCTGCCCCTTCCTTTCCTCCTCCACTTTCTCAGCCTTTATTTTCTCTCTCACTCTATCACCTACCTTTGAAAAATCATAGAATATTTTAAATTTGAACATAGGTAATGTAGAATAAGAATGAAGCCATCATAATATATTCAGTCATCAAATTTAAAACTAACTAGGAATGAATAACATTTTTCTAAGTGACATTTTTTATTTGCCACAGAAATGATAAGTAAAGATTTTAAAAATTGGTTAACTTTACTCCAGAAGCTTTCATTCTCTTCCCATTTCCCCAATATTATGTTTAGCCATAGAATTTATTTTTAATCGCCCAAAACACAGTGTAAGCCGAAGTTCTTGAAGCAGTCTGTGTGATCTAGTAGCCTGCCCTCTCCTGATATCACAGAACAAGTAGAACGGTCATTTTATGAAAGGTCTAGTTCCTGACCCCTAGGAATCACCTTAAACTTTTACAACTGAAATTTGCTGCAAAATATTGTTGCCACATTAGCTCACACTACTTTTACTTTCCTTCCAAGACTGTTGGTTCTGTTTGAGGGATCTTCCTACTCTTCTATAATCTTTGAGTTGTAGGAGATGATAGGCTCTCCCAAACACAGATTAAAACCTCTTGTTAAGACCATTTCTCAGTTTCCTTCCATTTCAAATCCTATGACTTTGCACATCAGAGCAACATAAGCACCAAGCCCCAGGGCCCCATGTTTGACAGTTTATGCTGTTGACAGCATATGCAGAAACATTCTGCTGGCCCCTTTGGGGCACTGCAACATCTGGTAACCGTCATAATTCCTTCTATTCTATTTTCTTCCAGCAAGCACAATTATTTCCTCTTGTGACCCAGTCACTGTTCAGTAGAGAAAGATACTCTCTGGGGTGAGACTGACAGACACTGCTAGTCTTGAGAAATTAGCCTTCGACTTTGAAATTCACTGTGTTGTCTTTGTCCAGGGTCTAGGGTAGTCATGCAGAACAGCATTAGGTATAATCCAACCTGGCATCTGAGGTTTGGAAGGTGAAGAAGGAAATGATTGCTCCAGATAGTTTAATAAGAATTTTAGGTATTCTGTTTTGCTTAGGTGGGGATGTAATTAGCTATTGATACATCTTCTCTTTAATTTTTACCCAGTTCTAAAAGGAAAATAAATTGACATCTAGGAGAAAGAAAACAAAAGAAACACTTTCTGTTTCACTTAAACAAATACAGAAATCCTAATTTGTGATAAACAGTGTGCTATTCTGAGTTGCTGTATAAACAATAAGCATAATTTTAGTGTCACTGATAGTTCTCTGCTACTGTTTCTTCATTTTTTTCTCAGCTCAAAAATGTTTCTCTTATCCTCCAGTATCTAGGGAAAAACTCGGATCCCATATATTGTAAAAGATATTTGAGTGATGCAAATAGCTAAGGTGAAAATGTATTTCTGCCACAATACCAATTTACAAATCGTGTCTTATTTACTGCACAGATCTCTCTAGATGTTTGTACAAATGTAAGATATTTGCACATGTATTTTAAAGATATTTTAGAGGAAATGGCTCTTTTAAACACATCAGTGTTTGTTCTTAATTTTTTCTGAAGTATATTGTAACACAAATGATCATCTCTCAGATAACCTAACAAAATACTAAAGAAAAAGCACATAATGAGTTCATTGTGCCTAGTTGGTTATAGTTTTGTTACAACCAAAGTATCAAATATAAAAAAAATTGTTTTATATTTGTTATATTGTCATATTTGTTTATATTTGTTAATTTATAACAAAAATTATAACCTAAAAACAGTAGTCTGATGGTTCATAGCATATATCATCTGGTTTCTTTTTATCTACTTTATGGGCAGATCAGATTTTTAAAAGTAAGAAGGAGTCACTGATATTTAATTTGCTGATATTATCTTCTTTCAAAACATCTCTTTCATCATGAAATTTTATTTGTTTTCATCAATTAGTAGTATTGCGCCTCAACTGATTTCTATACAAATATATATAAGTCACCAAAATTCCCTATTATTAAAAATATAAAGGCTTTCCAGATGTATAGATAACATAATTATGCTCGGAGAATTGAAGCAAAAGCTGGAGACTTGTAAATACTCGAATATTATCATATGGTTGCCTGGTAAGTGTTTAGCAGCTGCCACAATTGTTGTTTTGTAATTAAATAGAACCCAGGGAATTTAAGTAGATTAGTTGTACAGACTACCACTAGGCCTGGCTGGAGCTAAAGATTTTTGTATTATAATTAAGTTAAATCTCAACTAGAAAATGAAGAGTTAGAGTGTACAAATCTAACAAATAACAAAAAGACATTTTTTTCTCTCACAAATTTCACAACTTTGTTAATGTCCTTAACGTGTTTAAAATCTGGGTTTTTTCCTCTCCTGACATATTCTTTGTCCAGTCTTTCAGAGATCATTAGAATTTACAGTGCTGTTATTGTTCATTTTTCCAATTATCTGGCAAAGAGGGGGGTTGAGAAAGAGTTTTCAGCACCCAGCAGGAGTTTTACATAGATTCTCCGACAGAGTACAACAAAATTGCCAGAAAGAGAGCTCAAAAGAGACTCTAAGAGAAATAACTTTATGTATAATAGAAAAAAGCTTTACTCATAATTTAAAGATCATCAGAAAAGCAATTCCAGGTCTAATGGCGGCATTGGTGAATTTGAGAAAATCCCAAATCTTCCCATTTTCAGTTTTTCTGACATTATTGTTTTATTTAAAGGTGTAGACTTGATGAGACATGATTTTTTAAAATTTGGCTAGAAATATAGCAAAGCAAAACAGATTGCGAGTGAGGAAAGGGTCTCTTATCTTATATATTACTGAATGATTCTGTCAACCAAATATTGTTTCCCTGCTACCCTTCTCTCTGTTAAATAAAAATGCTATCTATATGCATTACCTATGCTCTATTATAGAGTAGTAACACATATCTATAAGAATTTCAGAACATTGCCTTGTTGTTATGGGTTTTGTAATACTTTGTAAAGTAGTGAACCCCAGTCATTTTTAAAATGTCTTTAACTTCTTATGTTACTTTTCTTGTTTTTCTCACAATAGTGAAAGTAATCATACAATCTGTGACATAAACAAGCTTTCAAACATTTCATGGAAGAAAGTTGATGTAACTATTCATCTTTATATAAATATAAGTGGTACTTTGGTAATAGTAGGCATCAGTGTCACTATAGTAGGAATAGTAACTGGCCAAGTTTCTCAAGTCCATGATCCCATTCTTTAAGTACGAGGAGTCTCACTAATCCTCCTCTTTGCCATTAGGCTAATAATCTGTGCAAAAATTCTTTCATATAATAATTATATTTTTAAAAGATAATTGGAAATATCATCATTAAGTTAATGACCTCAAAACAATATAATTTATTTAAAATCATACTTTGAGTGTTGTCACTAATTAATTTATATAAATACCTAGAATCTGACTGAAACATACTACTTCATATAATGCTCTAATTAAAGTCTTAAATTATTAAGCATTTTAACACATGAAATTCCCAATGTTTCATATAAAGGAACCAAGTCATTAATGTCTATAATCATGTATGAGTGGGCATATGTGTGCTTTTCTTATTTAAAAATATTCTCTTCAATTTGCCCTATAAGATGCTAGATAGACCTATTTTTGCAAAGCATGTCCTAGAACCCCAGTATCAAAAGATCCTGAAGTACATGCTGGAAATCAGATTTCTAAATCTTACTGATAGATCCAAGAAACATGAATCTATCGACACAAATCCCAGAAAGAGGCTTTTTTTTTAAATCAAGCTTCCTGAATAGCTCTGAAATACAATAAAGTTTATAAATCACATTTACTAAAATGAGAAAACATATTGCTTTAGTGGAAACTAAGACCAACTCTGTTACCCAAATATGCCCCGCACCTTAACAAACTTCCTGGATAATGGAATACTGAGAAAGGTCTATGATTAAGAATAAACTTTATTGCACACCAGAATCATCTAGGAAGCCTTGTAATAAGCAACTCTTTGGAACTGTTTCCAATAAATGTAATTCATTGGGTCTGTGATAAAATAGTAATGCAGCAAGTCCTTAAAGAAAGTTTTTCTAGGGGCTGGAGCAATAGCACAGCGGGTAGGGTGTTTGCCTTGCATGCACCTGACCCAGGTTCAATTCCCAGAATCCCATATGGTCCCCTGCTCACCGCCAGGAGTGATTCCTGAGTGCAAATCCAGGAGTAATCCCTGAGCATCGCTGGGTGTGACCCAAAAAGCAAAAAAAAAAAAAAAAAAAACTCAAAAGTTTTTCTACCTATTTTTGGAATTGTTTCTATCATTAGTTGTACCAAAAGGATGTACTATTGAAATATTCAGGCAAAGATGACTTTACTGTCTAGAGGACTGATATTTGCCTAATCTCTCTAAAATTTTGCCAACAATTTCTACCTTTTGAAATTATCTATGCATTTGATATGTATGTAGAGGAAAGGAAAAACTTGAACATTATTTATTTCCTAGCCAATTGATGGAAAAGTCCTATTCCATTACATTTGACCATGTAATCAGTTTTCATAATATAAGTATATATCATTTTAATATGTTGAGATATCTAGGGATAAATTCTAAAAAATACTGAAAATGTTTCATTTGGTAAACAGAACTTTGGGAAATCTGGAACAAGATATTGTTCTGGTTATTTTAATCTGTAGTACAATTTGTATCCAGTTAATAAGTAGTTTAAATGCCAAATTAATCTTTCCAAATATATGTACACATATATAAATAAGAATTTGTAACATATATAAATAAGAATTTGTAATAGTACAACAATGTTGGACAAGGATAAAAGGAAAGAAACAAAACAGTCCAGGAATAAAAAAGAGGGAAATTAT